GGTAGGGGCATTAGTCATATGCTCAGATGCTCCTGAGTCTATAATCCAGGGAGGTCCCTCCTTACCTGAAGTGGATGCAGATTTGCAGTTGCATATGAACTACCTGTATGTGCAAAGGAAGTGGTGTAGTTGGCTCTTGCATTCTGTTGTCCGTCTGGAAGGCTAGAGCTAGGTGAATCTTTCTTACTCATAAGCTGTCAAAACCTCTCCAATTCTATTCTTACTGCTACTACTGCAATGGATTCCCAATCAATTTGGGAGAGAGGGGCTGAAGAGTCTCCTGTAGTGGCTACATTTGCATTTTCCTTCTTGTTTCTTATCTGAGCAGGCATAAGATTTGGATGAAGCTTCCAATAAGTGTTCGTGGTATGCTTAGGCTTCTTGCAATAATCACACACCAAGTCCTTATCTTCCCTTCTAGTCTCACTACTCCTCCTGTCTCCATTCGGCTTAGGTTTTGTTGAACCAACCATAGCCGACTGGTCAATCCCAGGCTGTCTCAGCATTACATTCCTCCTACTCTCCTCTCCAGAGACAAAGGTATAGGCCTGAGAGAGTGTCACACCCTCCCTAGAAAAAATATGCTGCCTAGCAATGTTAAATTTAGGGTTCAACTCTGCCAAGAACTCAAAAACCCTATTCCTCTCTACCAATCTATGATAAGTTGTTGCATCATTTACACTTTCTCATACCACGGTCTCTAAGTGATCTATTTCCTGCCATAGGGTTTTCAACATGGAGAAATACACAGCAAGAGGTTTTTCTCCCTGTTTCATACTTATCACCTGATTTCTTAACTGATAGACTCTGGCTTCATTTTGCTTCTGAGAGTAGGTTTCAGTCACTCCATCCCAAATCTCCATAGCAGTATTAGCCCATAGGAAATTTTTTGCAATATGAGGTAACATTAGAATTACACAGTATTAGCCCATGTTCTCCTGCACCCATCGGGAAGAGTCTGTATCAGGTTTCTTCTCCTCCCCAGTGAGATATCCTAATTTTCCACGGGCACCAATAGCCATCTTAGCTGATTGTGCCCACTCTAAATAATTTGTACCATCAAGTTTTACTGTAGTAATGATCCCAGACCCAAAAATATCACTACTACCTCCAACACCTAGTCTCACAGTACCGGTAGATTTCATCTCGGTATTCCAACTCTCCATCTTACTTCAAACAGTTCAACAGTAAGAAAAGATAGATTGGAGACCTTTAAAAAATAATTTAATATCACACACACAGAAACCAACCCTTTCTGAAGAAGAAAACCCTAGTTGGAGGGAAATCTCTCTCCTCCTCACGCCTCCCAACAGAGAGAAAAGTGAATTGATCACTCCGGGAGGCCCAGAAAATTCCAGAAACCAAACCACCCTCTTTAGAAAATCAAAAGAAAACTAACAATACCTGGGCGCCCAAGATCAGATCAAAAACAAAGAGTCCAACTTTTCTAGGACTCTTCCCCGTACTCCAGTTCTTACTGATTTTGATGTCGAACAGTAGATCACCTTCCTGAGGACTAGATCCCACTAAAAACTCCAAGAACTGGGCAATCTATAGCAGATCGATCAGCCCTTTACTACTTCATGCAGTCGGCTGATCTAGGGCTGCATGAGAATGCTTCAAGAAACCCTAGCCGATGCTCTGATACCAAGTAGAAATCTGCTGAATTAAAATATATATATATATATATAT